AATTTTATAATCCGTCTCTTTAAATATAGGCAGCGTCGATGCTAGGTAGTATTTAAATATATTAATATAGGTCTCGCGAATAGGCTATAGGATACGAGCGAGTTAATTAGGGTCTATACTATTAGGGGGCATAGGTTTATCGTTATTACCGCCGAGAAGGTTAGCTATCGGATTAGCTAAGGCAGGTGTTAGGTTACTAATAAACAGGACCCTAATATCGTTAGGACACTCGCTAGCATTAATGTATTTAATGTCCTCTTTCCTAGCGATTCTAAATCGCTACTATTAGCTACCTAGGTCTATAGCTACGGCGTAGTGCTTAAGGACAGGGTTACTAATAACAATATTAGATAGAAGGCTATCTATATCTACTATATAGGCAGTAAAGTCTAGTAGGCGTTCATTTCCGAGGTCGTCCTTTAGAACTATAGGAATATAGTAGGCCCTATAGGTTAAGTGCCGAGCGTTATTAAACTAAGTAAGGGTTAGTAGGTTAGCCCTATTTAATTGTCGAAGGTCTAATTGCTTAGCTAGGCGATAGCTAATAAGGGCACTAACTGAATTTCCTAGATCTAGCGTAACCTTAGTCTTATAGTTAGCTCTATGTGTATCCTATATAAGATAGGTGCGTATAATAGCTAGTACAATATCGATAGTTTTACGCCGTATAAGGCTAATAGTTAGTGCGGCGCTTATTCTTTTTTCGACTAATAGGAAGGGCCGATAGGGGTAGTATTAGCGGCTAAAAGGTGCTTTCGGTACTTAGCGGTAGTACAGTCGATCCGGGCCTAATCCTTAGGTTTGTCGTATTAGCCTAGTAGATAGCTAGTACTATTATAGTTGAAGCATTTCAATCCGGTTAGGGGATTGCTATAGCCGCTATTGCTACTATTGTTAGTTAAGCGATTAGTATTGTAGGGATACGAGCCCCTTCTACGGCCCCTATTACGGCCTCCTCTATATAGTCGCCGGCTACGGCCTCTTCTACGGTTATTGTTACTGTTCCTATTGTTAGTACTATTGTTTTAGTAGGAACCTTAGTTTCCTCCGCGGGCACTACGGTTGCCGCGGTTAGTACTAGCTAGTCGGATCCTCGATTCTAGTCGTTGTTAGAGCTAAACAGCCTGTTCGGCTGTTTCTACTTCGACTATAAATTAAATACGCGTTAGATTAGCCTGTTCGAATATACGGTAGCGGTCCAATTTAAGGACTAATTCCTATCTTAGTTTTAGGCGTATTTCCGAGATCTATCTAGAATTAGTCTTAGCCGGAAGGTCGTCTTCGAGGGTCTTTAAATAGGCCTTAAATAAGCGAGCTAATTAATTAGTCTTTTGCTTAGCTCGAAGGTACTAGTCCTAAGCGTATTGTTGCCTTAGTATAGGGTTTCTAAGGGTGTCTAGTATAATAGTTTTATAGGTCTGCTACTAAATAGCGGTCTAGTTATTAAGGGAATCAAAATGATTATCCTAGGTACGTTTTAGGTCTCTATTAATATATTGCATAGTATAGACGACTAGCGAGTAATCGTCCCGGCCGGAAGAGCCCTTAGTACGTTTCGCTAGTTAAGCTTACAGTCGCGAATATAGTCGTTGTATTGCTTCCGGCTAGAGCTATTAAATACGGTACAGTCCTTAAGTTTAGTATCCTTCTTCTAAACTAGGACGGATAGTAAGGAAGGCCCTACTATCGGCTTAGTGTTAGTTACTAGGGCTTCCTATAGGCGGCGAATTTCGAGGAGGTTGTCCTTTAGCTATTATTCTTAACGTAAAGTAGCGAGCCTATTTTAGGTAGCTTCTTAAAGTCTCGCTACTAGCTAGGGGCTAAAGGCTAGTTAGCTATATCGACGGTTAACAATATTGCTAAGAATGTCGTTAACGGGCAACGAGGGGTTATCCCCTTCGATTATAGGTTCTTTAGTAGGCCCTCTAATAGGCTCTTTAGTAGGAGGCACTTTAGTAGGTACTTTAGTAGGCACTTTAGTAGGTACTATACTACTAGCGTTGTCGTTGCTAGCGCTGCTAGCGGCGCCGCGATTGTTGTTACTTCGTAATAAGCCGGCTATTGTAATAAGGGGTAGCACTAATAGTGTATTGTAGCCCCTTATAGTACGGATATAGCGGAATTAGTAGGTATCCGCTTAGTGCGATTAACTTAGTATAATAGGCCGTATAGAAGGCCTTGCTTAATAATTAGTACGGTTGTTTTTAGTGGAATAGTACGTGTAGGTCCCGTTCTTCGGGCGCAATATAGTTAAATCGGTAGTTTTCGTAGCTATACCGCTAAAAGCTTAAAATAAGGACTATCTAGCTACTACCCTTAAAGGGTAGATCGAATACTATATAAGAAGGGTTATATTAGCAGGTAGATAGGGTAGTAGTAGGTATAGGTAGTATTCGATAGAGATCTAGGAAGAGAAGGAGGAAGGCAGGCTAGTTAGCCTAACGCTAAGCGCTAAGCCCTGCCTAAGGCACTAAGACCCTAGCTTTACTCGAGCTAGTTATATACTAATTACGTATAACCTCTAATAAGGGCAATATAGTAAGTTATACTATTCTTATACTCTACGCTTTATATACGTATCTCGTACGTACCTACCGCTATACTATAGTTACTGTATACGTTATATTTATTTCGTAGTTACTATTTATTTTATAGATTTAAAGCGCGGCTACTTCTAGTACTAGCTAGAGGTTACCTAAACTTCTAAGAACGCGGTAGCTAGTAGCTACTAACTAAGAATATTTATAGTTCCTATAAGGGTAATACGATCGCGTACCCTATTACTAATATCGATATAGTTCCTAAGTTAGACTTTAGCGAAGCCTCTATTACGTTATCTATTTACTAGTAGTACGACAACCTTAGTAAGCTAGATAAAGAGCAATTTAGTATATATACTAACTATATTAGGAAGGCCTCTAAGGTTTATAGACTCTATACTAGCGCTAAGACGAGTATCCTTATTAGCCGCCTTTTAAAGATTAGGTAAGAAGTCGCTAGTTAGGATACTTTTACTATCCCTAAGGCTAGTCCGGCCTATACTAGCTAGTTTCTTAGGCGTCCTACTACTATTCCTACCTCTCTAGGACTCTATACCTTTAACGTTACTAGTACTATTACTCGCGATCTTGCGCCTACTAACTATTAGAGCAAGTTAGTTACTAGTATTCGGATTCCTAGCTAAGGTATCTCCTTCGATCGCTTTTACTAGACTAGTAATACTACGTTCTTTCGAGTCTTCGGCTAGCTATAAGATCCTCGTAAGCTCTATCTTCTTCTCCCTATTAACCTAATATAGGAGGAGTTTCGGATATACTTCTAGTATATACGTAAGTTACCTAAGAATAAGTAGGAGAGTTATAACGTTATCTAGCTTTATAGTATTAGTAACTAGATTATTCGTTAGTACCTAAACTTATAGCTCCTAGCTGTTACTCTTTAACCTAACTACGCCTACGAGCTTATTTCTATTCCTAAGCCTACTAAGTACTATAAAGTAGGCGAAGAAGGTTACGAGAACTGCCCTCTTAGGGAGTCTACTCGTATTAGCTAAGACGTAGTAAAGCTTATAGCTAGCGTTAGTACTAATCGCCTATATATTATAGTTAGCCTTATATCTAAAGATAAGACTAGCTACTCTACTATTATCAAAGGTATATATAAGCTAGAGGTCTTTGCGAACTAGGCTTAGAGGCTTAGGGACCGTAGCCTAGTTCTACTAGATAAGATTAGTACGCTTACTAATAAGTCTCTTACCGCCTACGATTTTAAGTATATATTTAATAGTTAGGCTAATAGCGAGTACTAAGTAGGAAGTAGAGTAGATCCTTAATCCTCTTAAGGAGTACGAAATCTCTATTTAAATACATTATCTCCTATATAGCGATCTAAAGGCTAAGAACGACCGTATATTAGTTAACCTAAGCTATTCTTACGTTATTAACGGTACTAAGGTTAAGGGCTATAATAACTTAATAGTCTCTTAGGTTACTACTATATACCGCGACCTTACTACTATTCTAAGCTTAGGTTCTTTCGTTCTATACGCTTTACCTACCGCTATTCTAGTTAGGGGCCTTAGCTATATCTCTAACGCCCTAGTCGGTCCTATTCCTTAGTTAAGCTATACTATTTAGAACGAGGTTAAGTAGATCCTCTAGTTTACTAAGAGGGAGCTTAAGGATTGCCTAAATACTTAGGAAGAGTCTACTAGGAAGACTATAGCTAACCTACTCGTCGCTTAAGCCTCCTATAAGGCGTAGTACTATAGTATTAATAGCTTTAGCGTAAGCGGAGAAAGCCTTTAGAATTAGCTATCGGATAAGACGATCTCTAATAAGGACTATAGTATACTTAAGTAGTAGTAAGTTAGTATAATAGATTCGTTACTACTAATTATCGATAGTTTTTATATATTAATAGTATATAGGATAATACTACCCTAGAGGCATTATTATAGACTTTTAGAAAATAGCCTTAGCTAAGAGCGCTAAGGTAACATATAACTATTTATTTATATTAGGCGTTTAATATAAAGCGTATCTAGCTAGATATAAAGAAAGGAAGGGATATTAGCTAGCAACCGGCCCTCTACCTTTATAGAATAGCTAGTTACTAGGCCTATAAAAGAGGCCTCCTTTAGTAGAGAGATAGAGTTATTAACCTTATATAATATACTATTCCTACTATACTCTAATAGTAGCTCTACTATAGGGCTCTAATTACTATAGCCTAAACTATAGGTCTACTATCCTATTCTACTAAGGATAGCTACCTATATTACGATAGGTTATACTTATAAAGGGCTACGCCCTAGGTAGAAAGCGCTAGCCTTAGGCATTCGGCCTACGCGACTCTAACCTACTACTTAGCGCTTAGCGCACTATATAAAACTATTCGGATTTACGTAGATAGACTTAGCTCTTTATTAAACCTATTAAGTCTTATATCTAGTATCTACGTACGCGTTACTTACTCGTAATAATACTACCTTCGGAGGCCTATACTATTATAGCTAGTAGTAGTAGTATTAGTTTCCGTCTTTTACTAGGATATTTTAAGAGAATTTTAGAATTATATATTAAAAATTCTAAGATAAAATTCTATAGTGTAAGGATTTTAGATATTAGAGTTTAAAAAGATATATTATTATAATAGCTAAGTTTAATATAAATTAAAGAAATTGTACTTAAAGAATATTATAGTATAAAAGAATCTTTTGCTAAGACTTTTAGTATAAAGCCCTAAAAATCTATAGAAGTAGCCTATTTGCTAGGGCAGATACACTTCAAACGTTAATTACGCTATACTGTATACTAGGCTGCATACACACACACAGACACACAAACACCCATAATAATAAGTTGATGGCCCTATCTCCGTCTGGTCCCGAGACAGAGCAAGGACTTTAGAATGTTGGCATCACTTGCTTGTAATGCGGTCATTCAATGGACTGCTGGACGATGTTGCTGGTCCTGCACATAATCCATTACGACACATTCTCA